ATTTTTATTTTTAAAAAACAAAAATAAAAAACCTGGGGGGTGGGAAAGGGTGGAAGAAAACCCAAATGTTCCAACCTAGAATATGAGATTGTCGCTGGTTTGACTTGCATGTTTGAAATAACTGAGTATAGACCACTCTAATCTGAAGAATAACAGTAATGATAACAAATCCCTTCCATGATTAGCCTAGTAATTGTTACTTGTAGGCTCTCTCTAGCTAGTTCTCTCTCCTAGTACTTGTTCAGGCTCTCGAAATTTTCCTTTTATTAGTTTCTTAAACAATTTGCCTTCCATCATTAACCCACTCTATAGTAATTCATCACTAGTCACTACACATGGAGAAACACTGCTGTTAAATTTCAACTAGACCAGTAGTTCTCAAACTTTAGCTTGCATCAGCATCACTTGGAATGCTTGTTAAAACAGACTGCTGCATCCCACCCCCACAGTTCCTGATTCATGACTAATGCCATAAGTGATTCAAAAAGAACATAAAGCTTGTAACTCAAAGGAGATCAGCTTGGGGGGGGGGGGTTAGTTCAAGAGGAATAAACTACACCAAACACTGCAATGGCTTCAACACACACACACACACACACACACACACAAAATCCCCCCCTAACCCAGTTAACCAATCTAAACTTATCTTGATATGCCCACTTGACTTCAATTTCATTGAAACAAGGAGGACCTCCAATTCACTGAGGTTTTTTTAAAAGGATATTAGAAAAATTAAGCATTAATGTAAAAAAGACCAATCTAGTGGTTCAACACTCCTGTTTAACGTTCCAGATATAAAAAAAAGGGGGGGAGGGGGGAGCAGACAAAAACTGAAGGTTCTATGATGTGAAAATTAACTTGCCAGTTAGGAAAGCAGTGGGTAGAATTGATTCTTGAACCAATACACAATACACTGGACTATACTGCCTCTAATTTATGCATGAAACTTCAGCTTAGAAGTACCTCAAATATTTTAAATAAAAAATGGGCAAAATATTAAAGATTTCATATCAACAGCCAACAGAAAATTTGTTGTCTTTAAAGGTTATTAAGAATAATAATTCTTCTAATAGCAAGAAGCCCACCCACTTCTCTTTTGTTTCCTCTCTGATCAACATCCAACAGTTGTTCCATGTGCCTCTTCCTCAGCATATCCTTTAAATGTGCTATTCCTAAGGGTTACTTGCCCGTCTTACTCATTCTCCCTGAGTGAGTCAAAATCATGACACTGAGTGAACTATGAACATTCCAGTCGTTCAGAACTATCACTGGACTGGCTAAAAATATAAGATGCTTAGGCTCCAATTCAGACTTGACTAACGGATAACAATCTCTGGGAACTGAGCCCAAGAATCTCTATGTTCCCCACCTCTATATGCTTCTTAGGCTAGAACCATGTCCTCTACACTGACCAGCACACACACAAGGCACAATCAACATTTGCCAAAGAATGCTATGGAAACAAAAAATAGCAAATTTAAACATCCTTGAATTCCAGAGTTACGTAGTGTTAGTTTAATAAATTACTTAGATATTTAGACAACTACATTAGATAACCATTGTAATACTATTAACCATTTTAATATTAACAATGCTAGTTAAATATAGCTGGGTAAATAAAGGACTTTAAGCACTTCTCTACCCTTGAGATACGTTACAGAAAACCCCTGATCTTAAAGTTCAAAAGGTAAGTAGCCACAGAGTTTAAATACAAGAAGATCAAATTAAACAAAGAAAAGTTAGAGAGCCAGAAAACCAAGAGCTTTGTAAAAGAAAAAGTGTTAACTTGATTGAAGACTAGAACTAATCAGCAGATATCTACAAATAACAGTATTAATCTGTTGTTGCCCAGAAAAAGTAATCAAATTCCCCCAGGGAAGAATCAATTAACTTGGCAAACTTTTTTACATTCAATCTTTTTCTCTTGCACATTTATTTTCAAATTCACTAACATACGTGATTCATATTGAAAAGCAGTTACCAGGAAGAAGGGGATTTAAATTTTTTAGAATTAACAGCAAGCTCCCCAATGTGAACTAAGTTAATAAAACGATTTTTAACTTACTTAGAACTTACTATATATTAAACCAACATTAGATTTAATTGAAAAACCTGTATGACTGATGTTTAAATGCTCTATGAATATACATTGGTCTCATTAATCAATAAAAAGATAAACATCCCAAAAGGGGGTAAAATGAGCGAAAGCAAAGAGCAATTTACAAAAGAAATACCAATGCCCAAAAACTTTAAAAATTCAACCTCATTAGTTTAAAAAAAAATTTTTTTTTAAATGATGACCAATCAAGGATCATGGAGGGAAAACTAGTATAACCTTGCTGAAAGCAATGTGCTAATATTTATTAAATGGCTGAAAATAAGCAAATGTTTGTTTGGCTCAGCAATTTATCCTATCAAAATAAAACATCCAGACATTTATCTGTAAGAATATTCTTAGTGAGGTTTATAAAAGATGAAAACTAGACAATAAAAAGGAAGACCAATAATAGACTGACTAAATTAGTTTAGATCTGTAATTATGTAAGCACTTGAAAAATAGTTACTTATTGATAGGAGAAAGCTGTTGACCTTCCCTCTGTTTTTGCAACCTGCTTTTTTTCTACTGAAAACATAAAAAGAACGTAGTTTTATTCTGTAATTATTATTTTTTTAACATGTATAGCTCATCCATGTGTAACATGTATACACATGTAATACATGTATACATGTATACATCCATGTATAACATATATAGCTCATTTCAGATATATAGATCTGGAACATTTATTACAGTTCAGATTCTGGTGTATTTCTCTCAGCAGCAAGCAAAATAATTATTTTATCTCTTTTTTTCCTCACCTCATCAGTTTTTTTCTTACAGTGTAATGTGCTACCTGTAAAACTTAAAGTTTAAATCTATTAACATAAATAATTTATAACATAACCAAACCCTAGTTTACTGCATCATTTGCCCAGTGTATACCATTTCCAGAAAGAAGATCTGGGGTAAATCCTATCCTTTGATCTACTGATACTTTTAAATATGAACTTTTAACAAAGGAAAGATACTCATTTCAGCAGTCCTACTTAAGAGCACCCTTAACAAGTAGTAAACTAGGAAAAAAGGGGTTGTTTCAAAAATTCAGCATGAAAACATGGTTAAAGCAGGACACCTAAAAAAAATTCTCTAGTATTTTGTAGTTCTTAGTTCAGTTTATCCATGTTTATTCCTCTTCCTCTAAACTAACAAAGAAAAAATGTAACATGCATTAGCTACATCTCTGTTCCAGAAGTGACATAAAGAATTTGTAGGGTTTGGCCTCAGTGATTGAGGACACACCTAAGCTGAAAAGGCTGAATGAGATTTAACTACGTGAAAACATACTACAAGAAGTTAAATAATGAACATCCATGAATTTTAAAAGGTAACTAAAAATGCGAATAAGCCAGGTGATAGGTCTGAAAACATCAGATTCAATATAGATTTACTATATACTTTATGTAGTAAATAAATGAAAAGGGAATTCAAGGTTTCACTGTAAACTCAACTTTCCTCAAAAAAAAAAAAAAAAATTCTCCATTTAGTGACCTAAGAACCTAAGTGTTGTATCTGCAGATCAGAAAGAGCTATAAAACTTATCTTCCTTCTACAACCCTTCAATTTCCTCTTCAGACTACATTATCTATACGAAAGTTTGAGAGTTCCACTGTTTAGTAATAGCACTAAGTGTCACAGTTTTTCTTTTTTTTTACCATTATTTAAAACACTGTCTTCAAACAGGCCTAAATAGATGGCTTCATTTTCAAAAGAAAGTGTCTTTTTTACTAAATACTGTAAAAAAATTATTAATAAAAAGAATCTATTAATCATGCAAGCTCAACAAGCACGCAGTGACATACTGCTTATTTACCAGTGAACATTAGTCAACCAATTTTAAGAGGGAAAAAAAAAAAATCACATACAAGAAGGCAAGAGTAACCTGCTGCTCACCTATACTGTTTTCTTCCATGAAACTACTGTTTTCTAAGAGCTATACTGAATCAAGACTCCATTTTTATTCCGCAGTCGTATCCCTGACCCCCTCATTTGTTCTCTCTATATAAACTGAAACTTTTCATTTTCTAAAGCTCAAAACGCAAAATATGACTCACAAGAAGATTAGATGAGATGCGGTTATCAATTTAAACCGAGTCCTACCTACCGACAATGAAATACAAATTATCAGAGAAAGGAGTCCAGAAGCAGAAAGTCTCTAACTTGCTAACTCACAATAAGACTCTTGTTCAATATTACACAATAACACTGCGCTTTGCTGCTGTTTGAGCTGCAAAGGCTGGGTATGCAAGTTGCAGCAACTATGCCAACAGCTTCAAGTATGCTACAACTGAGAAGAGTAGCAGTTAGAACCCAAACGAACAGCAAACATTTAGAAAGATACAAGCAGAAGCCTCACCATTAGAAAAGAAGATCCATCAGCACCTCTTCCAAGAAATAGTTCCCTTCCCCCACTTTAAGTAGGCACTTAAGACTGCCAAGCAGATCCATTTCTTTATTAACCGGTGCCCACTTGGGGCAACTGTACACCAAGCAAGCCCTTAGGCCTACTCTAACCCCTTCCAAAAGTGCTCAAGTGAGACTGAAAGCCGGGGAAGCCGTCTCAGGAGCCCAGATTTTCACCTCCCATCCCGCCCCGCCCCTGTAAGCTCTCCTAAGGCCAGAGGAAGGACACCGGGCCCAGGGACCCGCAGCAACTGCCCGCAAGAGAAGTCTGAGGCGGCCGGAGGCCTCCGCCATAGCAGGACCTGGAAAGCACCGCCCCTAGCGCACCTCCCCACACCCGGCGAATGTCTGCTCTATCCCCGGCAGAAGAGAAGACAGGGCCGGGAGGCACCAGGCTAGGCTGCGCACCAGGCCCTGGCCTGCCCCTCTGAGCCGCGCGGACCGCCCGAATCCGCTCCCGGGTCCGGCTCAGTCAAGCTGGCGCGGGGGCCACACTCACCTGGATGACCTCGTTGACCTCCCGGATACATTCCACCATGTGTTGCAGAATCTGCTCGGCCGTGAGCACCTCGTAGCGGTAATCCTCCTCCTGCTCATGCCCCGGCCCGCCGCCGCCGCCACCACCGCCGCCGCCACCTCCGGGCCCCAGAGCGCTGCCGCCGCCGCCGCCCGTCTCCCCACACAGCAGTCCGTCCCGCTCCCCGCCGACGCCCAGCCCCGGCTCCACCAGCTCCACCTCGCCCAGATCCAGGTTATCATCGTCCGGCTCATCGTCGTCCTCGTCCTCCTCCTCCTCGGCGCCGCTGTCCTCCTCGCTGCACTCTTCGTCCTCGTCGAACTCGTAGTTGTAGCCCTCGTCCGAGTCCATGGCGCGACGCGCAGAGGCCCGGCGGACGCTGGCCCTGAGGCGGGGAGAGGGCGGGGACGCCGAGGCCCCGGCTCTCGCTCCGGCTCCGGCTGATGTCCGGACGCAGGCCTGGCTCCGGCCCCGCGGGCCGCGGCTCCTCCCCGGGCGCGGCGGTTGGCGGTTGGCGGCTAGCGGCGGCGGGGAGGGCGCGGAGGAGGGAGGGAGGGAGGGAGCGAGGGGGCCGCTTGCCGCCCGCCTAAGTCAGACGCGGCTCCGCTCAGGCCTCCGAGAGAAAACAGTCCCCAGCGCCACCTCCACGGCCGCTGCTACCGCTACTGAGCCAACAAAGGGGCGTGCGTCACCGCGTCGCGCTGCGTCGGCGCGTCACTGCTCTTGACGTCATCGCGCCCCGCCCCGCCGCCCCTGCGTGTAGTGCGGGGAGACCCCACGGCCTCGGTGTGTCCTGGGAGCGCGGCGCCACGGGAGTCGCAGGCTGTGTTCCGGCTGCGGTCGCTGTTTGGAGCCTCAGCAGCGAACAAAGTACTGGAGGAGCTTGTGGCCATTGGACGCCGAGAGCGAGAGGGGGCCTGGTCCGCCCAGGTGGTGGATTTTTGCTCAGGCCATGAAGATCCAGCCCCCCGCGCAATCCTTTGGGGAAGGCGGCCTTCCCCCAGGGCCAGAGAGACCCTTCCCGCCGGCCCGGGAGTGATTCCAGGAATACCTCGGCTGTTGAGCTACTGTTTCTCTAGCCTGGGCTACTCAGTGGATTCTGTTTTATGCAGAACCTCTAACCTGTGTTGCTGGTGAACCCCGTTTTAAGTAATTAGGTTGTGTACTCCGGACGTGCTGTGATTTTTAAGTCGCCTACAGTGACGTCATTTAAAAGAAGCGTTTCCTGAACTCAAGCACTTTATTCAAGGCACTAAACTGTTAAAGTCATGTCTTCCTTTAATTGAGTACTGTGTAAGATCTTTACATACATATTTCTTATCTTCATGGAGCCACAGTACCCACTTTATACCTGAGACTGAAAGTGAAAGAGACTTGAGGAAGGCCACGGAACACTTGTCTTATGTTTTAGCACCTAGGTGACCTTAAATAGCAATCATAAAAATAATTTAAAATGCATAATATGTATTATATGCTGCATTATATATCAAATGGGCTGTAAGATAATACAATGCAGACAATAATAGAAATATATACAGGGACCAAATAAAGCAGAGAGATAATGCCTGTCTCCTATTTGGAAATGTGTGAGCTGAGTGTTAATAGATGGCCAGGAGTTTAACAGAGAAGATAGGGAAGATGATCTAGCCTGAGAAAATAACAAAAGCGAAAGCACAGTAGGGGTAAAATAGTTTAGTTCAGGGAGCTTAAAATGCAAGGAGGGTAAATGACAAAATATCAAGCAAGTTGTGAACAGGAGAGGAAGAGTATTTTATACCATTCTAGTAGACATAAATCTTTGTAAATAGAACAGAAAAGCCAGAGAAATACTCTGAAGGAAGAAGAGGCACGAGAAAACTTCCTCTTGGGATAACTTGGATTGGCCAGATTGGAAAGTTTTTAAAGTTTGAATCCCTAATTTACTGATAAATCTTACCTTTCAACATACAGTTTCCCTTTGGAATCTGATTTTGAAAAGTGAAAAATACCTTTATAATGGAAATAAGCCTTATTAATTTGTCCATTTTGTAAAGTTTTTAATAAGATTTCCTAAAATAAGCCAAGGATTTGCAAATTAAAACTTAATGTTTTGTGTCTTGGTCCTTTCTTGTTTTTATTTTAGCAGCTGTAGGTAGTTGCCACACCTGGAGCAACCTAAGTATACTAGCAACCCTTCTCTCCACCCCATCCCTGTTCTTACACACCTACAGAGAAAATTCAGCAAGGCTTGACAGTACCCTAAACTCCTTTACGTCATCTTTTTATCCACTCCTATCTTGACTGAACCCTACCATCCATATCCTCCCCTTTGATATGGAGCAGCTGACCACTACTGGAGAAATTTGCATGATCACATGCATTCTGTTATTAAATTCCAATCACCTACCACACCTGATGCCTCAACACTACCCAGCAGCCCTGTTAAATTTTTCTAAATTGTTCTGCCACTCTAGGCAACTCTGAAATCTTCACCAGTTTTTTTCAAATCCCCAACCCTGCCCTTCCAAATCTGCTCAAAGTACATGACTTTACATCACAGAAATTTGAAATCATAAGGACCTCTGTGACTAAAGCATACTGAGCAAAAATCGAGTGTTAAAGAATGAAGTCAGAGAAGACAAATCGAGGTGGAGGGCCAGTAGGACCTTGTAGGCCATCTTAAGACGTTTAATTATTACAATGGAAATCATTAGAGGATTTTAAACAGAAGAATGAAATAATATGCTCTTTTTTTAATATGCTCTTTTTTAAAAAATAATGGTGCTTTTTGGAGAATAGACTATGAAATCAGAGACCAATTAGGCAGTTATCTCAGAAGTCAAGGTGAATAATGGTAACAGCTTAGGCTAGAGTTGTGACAGTGGGGCTGATAAGTGGTCAGAGTCATGTGTAATTTGAAAGTGGAGCCAACAGATTTGCTGATGGCCTGATTGTGAGGTTTATAAAGGATGAAGATGCCTCCTAAATTTGGGGTTTGAGCAACTGGATGAATGATGTTTCCTGAAACGAGTTAAAAATGAGTTGCTTGTTAGATATTGAGGTAGAGATACTGAGAAGGCAGTTCCACATGCTAATATACAAGACTGAAGGTCAAGAGAAGGTAGAGCTAGATAGAATTTCACCAGTGTTTATGTCAACAATGTTGAGAAGCAGCACAGGAAGGAATAGAGCAGAATTTACCTCTGCCCCTCCAGTTGCTGTCTGTAACTTTGAACAAATTACTGAAACTCTCTGAGCTTCACTTTCAAGTGAAGTTAGTCGCTCAGTCCTGTCCTACTGTCTGATCCCATGGTCTGTAGCCTGCCAAGCTCCTCTGTCCGTGGAATTTTCCAGGCGAGAATACTGGAGTGGGTTGCCGTTTCCTTTTCCAGGGTATATTCCCGACCCAGGGATTGAACCCAGGTCTTCCACATTGTAGGCAGTCTTTACCATCTGAACCTCCAGGGAAACCCAAGCTTCACTTTGGAGGATAATTCCCTATTCTCATAGAATTATTTATGAGTATCAAATGGAATAATATATTTAAAACACTTGACACAGTGCCTGGCACATAATTATATGTTCACAAAATTAGAACTTTAAAAAGTGTCAGAAGTCACCTTGCATCTTTGGGGGGAAAAAACTATAAATTGGATTTATAACCTTGTAGTTGAATTTATTTTGATTTTACATGTATGTATATGGCCTATGTCATCCTTATTTTCCAGGGAAGAAAATTGGCATGCCTTTTTCTCAGAAACTGTTTCCACAGTTTGATTACTCCTTTTTGGTCAAAATCATAGTGCTTCTGAACTTTGGGGTCTCCCTATTCACGGGTATAATGAGATTTTCAGCAATACTCCATTGATATTTTTAAAAGTATCTTAGAGTCAGATTATTGTATGGTGCTATTAAAGGAAACCAGTATAACAACTTCTCTCTGGCCCCAAATTGGCCAAGGGATGACCCACATACAATGATTTTTTAAGTGACTTGATCTTAAAGGTATTGCCTGTGTCATTGCTTCCTCAGGTATGGTGATTACTGGGTAGAAGTACAAAAGTCTGTAAACAAGAGGTTAAAACAAGTTGCTTGAAAAAAATAGGCACGTTAATATTTCCTTGGTGCCAAAAGAATAATTGTTTTATAATTAGGTATTCACATTGTCCCCATGTCTTTTTTTTTTTTAGTATATATTTATTAAATACCTACTCATGGTGTAAAACTCCATAAATATTTATATATGCATACCAAATAGTTATGAACTAAATTCGGGCAGGAAAAATATGCAAGTGCTTTTCAGATAAATAGAAATTAAAATAGCACTGGACTTTTTCAAAGGGCAGATAATAGAGCTGTAAGCTATGGAAAAACCTCTAGCAATGGCAGGGCACTAGAGTGACCAAGTGTCCCTATTGGCACAAAATGGGAGTTTCCTGGGATGTGGAATTTTCAGTGCTAAAACTGGGAAATCTCACACAAATTGGGACGTGGTCACCTCCCCCAAAGTTCTTACATGATTTAATCAAAACACTGTTTCCAAAACTAAATGGAAATAACACTTTGTCATGCACCACTTTTTGCTTTTTTTTTTTTATGTTTTGTTTCTGTGTTTTACCAGGCAGGAGGTAAGAAAATGAAATTTTAATATAAATTTAATTTAAAATTCAATTTTAGCAAAAGTGCAAAGATATTCTAATAAGCTAATTGAATACTTCGCATTTCTTTAACACCATCTGTGTACTTTGTATTTTATTACAAGCAACAATTAAATGTTACACCATTGTTGACAGGTAGATCTTATCATACCAGTTCTATGTGGTAAATAATATAATAAGGCTTAGAGAAATTGAGCTTGTATGCCTCATTAGAAGTCTCGGAGAAATAGTGATAACCAAAAATGGAACCTGATATTTCTGACTGCAGCACCCTAAGATATACTGTCTACCTTATCTTTTTCTTCTAGCACACAGAATTAGAGATTTTATTATTGAACCAGAGATTTTATGCAAGTAATTATCTACAATGTGTGGTAAGATAATGCTGGATCTAGAAGCAGAATACATGCATGCCCTGCTACAATGAGACAAAATTTACAATGTACAAATATCTGTGTTTCCCATGATTGCAAGACACATGTATTTGGCCTAATTGTGTACTTATTACAGCAAAAAAAAAATAGCAAATGATCACCACCACCCCAGAAGTGAACATATGTTTGTCCTAATGATTTAATCATTTGATGAAAAACTGTTTTTATAACAATTTGCAAAAGAATAGCTTCTCTGATTTACTGTATCTATTGTGTTGCCTTGTGGATGCATTTGAATGAATGGGCAAAAAGTAAGCAAATATATTGTTGTCTACTGTATGCTAGAGTGAGGGCATGTATATTTTAAATTTACTCCTTATGATCTCATGAATTTGGGATTCTTTTTTTTAACTGAAGCATAGTTGATTTACAACGTTATGCCAATCTCAGCTGTACAGCAAAGTGATTCAGTTTTACACACATGTACATTCTTTTTTAACAATATTTTCCATATGGGTCATCCCAGGAGATTGAATATAGTTCCCTGTGTTATACAATAGACTATGGTATTTATCCATTCTAAATGAAATAGTCTGTATCTAGAAGTTGAGATTCTTAATTTTATAAGTAAGGAAAAAGACAAAAAGTAATTTGCCAA